TCATCACTGTCACTTCTCCTCTCCACACCTTCTCCTCTCCCTTATCCTTTCCTCACTGTCTATTCTCCTCATTTTCTCCTCTCCCTTATCCTTTCCTCACTGTTTCCTTTCCCCCTCACGGTTTCTTCTTACCTAACTGTCTCTTCTCTCCTCTCTCTTCTCTTTACGTCTTCTCTTCATTGTCTCTTCTTCTCTCACGGAGTAGAGAAGTTGATCGAGGGTTTGAAGTCTCCAGAGCCCTCTTCCTCCCTGATCCTCCCTGACCTTCCCTTAAATGACCCCTTCAGCCCTGCAGACTGTAGTCATGGTAATCAGACAATTATCTGTTTGTTGTTGTTTTTTTGCTTAATAAACCCACAACCGATACATAGCCTGGCCTTCAATGGCCTCCGTTGGTCTTTTAATGTTGATTGTTTTCTCAGTTCAGCTCAGAGCAATACCTGGAACTCCTGGATGTGCCTTTTTATGACTACTCCTTCCTGTCTGTCCTGTACTTATATCTCCACTGCGGTCTCATCTCTCTTGCCTGTTTAGTTGTTGTAAACTTTGTCTTCATCAGACATCAGTATATCTTTAAAGGATCTGGTTTAGAGAGTGCTGCTTCATGCATGGAGTGAATTGATGTCACCATGGCCATCTATCTCACCTTTACCTTTGTTACACAAAGCATCATATTTGTCTGTTTTCTTTTTTTCTTTTTCTTTTCTGCAGCTGGGATGGATTCTCTGATCCCTGGTCTGGATCCTCTACAGACTGATCCTGGGTCAGCTGCAATACCAGGTCAGCAGTTCTGTAAATACGCTCCTATTCTTTATCATACAGCTGCTCACTGAAGCATTGAATCTGCTGACATTAGGCTGGGAAAATCTGCAAGGTGTTCTGGATGGCATAATTACTGCCAGCTATGAACCTCTGTAGCAGCACAATAAGTAGGTAGCATGGCTGTTGCCACCTACAAGTTTCCTGTAAATGGCTATGGTTTTAAACAAACCCTTTACTCTAAATATAACACTTTAGTGCAGACCGCTGAAGCAGCACATGGATATTCTTGTCGCATGGTACTTGATAGATCACAGGTTTGTGATTACAGGATAAGGCTTAGCTTTATCGTTTTATTGAGATTGCTTTGGCACACATTTCCTGCTCTATTTCAGCTATCAGATATTAGATTTACTACATTTTCTATGTACCAGGAAATAAAGCAGGCTCTTTGGTCCATTAGAGTCTTTTATTCACAGTGGCGTTCTTAAAAAAGAGAACCAATAACAGTAGTAAGTCTGTCCACTGATGAAAACAAGCCGATACGTTCTGCACAATAACCACATGACCTCACCTAGCAGTGATATAACTTGTCATCACTTGTTGATGAGAACATGTGGATGGTTTTGGTTGAATGATAAGTTCTTGATTATGTTGGCAGCAAAAAGACTGAACAAATGGCACATTGTTGGTCATACTAGCGTGATGACCTACAGAACATTTCTTTAAAAGCCTCAAAGTGCTGTGTCACCTTTCCTGAAATTGGTGCATACACTCCAGGTCGGACTGTGTTATTGTCTGTTTATATTGTCAGTAGGGCCACCTGGTGACCAAACGGCTAACTACATCCCAGTGTGTTTCACATAACTTCATAGGTTATTTCAAGTGTGTCTCTTATTGTGGGTCCGGTTGTCTGTAATTAGTGGTTATTTGTTAAAGTTTCATGCATAATTAGGTATTTTCACTGACCTTGTTGTGACCCCCAAAAACTATTTTGAAACTTGGTAGCATTTATTCAGTAGGCATTATTTTTGACAGGAATAGGGCTTTACACTTACTTTATACGGTATAACAGAGATTTTGGTCAAATTTGGATGAATAAATAAGTAGGGCTATACACTTCAAATCGTGATATTGATCACTGCTATTTAAATACGAAATCTGTTCATAAGTAAGTACGTGTCTCAGAATGAGTGAGCGGCACAGTTTTGTCTACTACACATACTCAAGCTCACATTGCGCTCATGGTGTTTTCAGCATCTGCTGTCTCACTATATTAGGACATGAACACATGAACTTCACAAGCAGTTACAATCATGTAAAATCAAGCTTTCGTAGAGTATGTTGTGGGCCTCATCCACTTCTGCTACAGAACTTCTCTCTTAATTCTCACTGCCACCTTCTACTCATCTATTCTCTCTTCATATTTCCTTTGAATTCCCTAATCTTATGAGTCCTGTCTGTACTTTGTGGATGTCTTTTTGTTCGGCACTCTCTCTCTCTCTCTCTCTCTCTCTCTCTCTCTCTCTCTCTCTCTTCTCTCTTTTTTCCTTACTTTATACGGTATAACAGAGATTTTGGTCAAATTTGGATGAATAAATAAGTAGGGCTATACACTTCAAATCGTGATATTGATCACTGCTATTTAAATACGAAATCTGTTCATAAGTAAGTACGTGTCTCAGAATGAGTGAGCGGCACAGTTTTGTCTACTACACATACTCAAGCTCACATTGCGCTCATGGTGTTTTCAGCATCTGCTGTCTCACTATATTAGGACATGAACACATGAACTTCACAAGCAGTTACAATCATGTAAAATCAAGCTTTCGTAGAGTATGTTGTGGGCCTCATCCACTTCTGCTACAGAACTTCTCTCTTAATTCTCACTGCCACCTTCTACTCATCTATTCTCTCTTCATATTTCCTTTGAATTCCCTAATCTTATGAGTCCTGTCTGTACTTTGTGGATGTCTTTTTGTTCGGCACTCTCTCTCTCTCTCTCTCTCTCTCTCTCTCTCTCTCTCTCTCTCTCTCTCTCTCTCTCTCTCTCTCTCTCTCTCTCTCTCTCTCTCTCTCTCTCTCTCTCTCTCTCTCTCTCTCTCTCTCTCTCTCTCTCTCTCTCTCTCTCCCTATTCTCAGTATTCTATTTCTCTGGTAACTCATCTTTCTGTTCTCTGTCATTCTCTATTCTTCACGCTTGCCCTGTGTCCTCCAGACTCTTTGGTTGGACAGGATTCTCTTTTGGATGGGCCGCTTCTCTCCCACCCCTCCACTGGGGGTCTAATACTGGCCTCATCCCCCTCATCTCTCCCTGCACCATCTATGGACCAGTTTACTACTACTGCTTTGAGCAGTGGACAGTACCACCAGGGTAAGAAACAGATGCACAATCACCTCAGTTGCATGTGGTATAAGTAAAAAGACATTGATTGTGAGTTAGAGTTTTGTTATGTCCAGCAGAAATAGAAACCAATTAGCCTGTGAAATAGAAACCAATTTTAATCAGTAAAAGGTTTTAGATTTCGCCGAACAAATAAACAGAATTAGCCTACATGCTGAGTCAAATGGTGAAAATTTGTGCTTTGTGCTCAGAATAGGCCTTGACAAATGAAGTACTCCTTGTTTCGCTTATTTAGGACATTTCTTACATTACTTACCTGCTCTTGCTTATCTATACTCATCACTCTCTTTTCCCCTCTCTCAAACTTTCTTCCTAATCTCTTCTTTTTTTTTTTCTCTCTCTGCCGGTCTGCTGTGGCACTAACCTCTTCCTGCAGCCTCTGATCCAGCTCACCTGCTCTTAGTCGTCCAGTCCTCTGAGACTGGGGACCAAAGCGCCGATAACCAGTTTGACCCAATTCCAGTGCTTATCTCCAAAAGCTCCAGCCAAGGTAAGGGAGTTCATATAGCAGCAAAAGATTCTGGAAGAGAGCACATGCATCTAATTCACCCCGAAGTGTAGATGAATAGTTGCAAACTTATCAAACAGAAAGTGGTTTTGTACTGTTAGACCCTGGTGTCTCTGACGTTATTGACCTGGCTTTGAGTAGTGAAATGGACTCGGACACACATGCTTTCATTTCTGCATCACAAACTGTCTTCACCCTGTTTCACCCCAAAATCAAAAGAAGAAAAATTATATCGTGGCATTTATTTTGCCAAATTCTCAGTACTGTAATATCTTTTGATTGTTGTAATGATTTAGGTCATTTTAGGTCATAATGACCTTTTACCCATTATTGTCAATGGTTATTCTCATTAAAGAAAAAAACATACTGAGATAAAATAATTTTTACTTAAATTAATAAATTTTTTATTTATATATATTTATTGTATGTGCAATTTGGGTCAATTAGATTCTTTTAAAAGTAATTAATACTTTTAATCAGCAAGGATACATTAAGTTGACCAAAAGTGATAGAAAAAAAACATTTATAATGTTACAAAAGATTTTGGTTTCAAATATGATGCTGTTCTGTTTCTGTTGCTGTTTCCATTCATCAAAGAATATTTTTCCCCCTTTTTTTTTTTTTTACAAAAATATTAAGCAGCACGGAGGTTTTCAACATTCTACTGTATTCTTGATCAAATAAAACTTTAAAAATTAAGAATTTCAAAAACATTTTAAAAAAATCGTACTTTTCCTATTTAGTAGAGTAGTGTATTTAAATATTTTCTATTTATTTTACTGCATTGTAATGAGAGTTTGAGGGAAAATGTGCCTATAAAAATACTGTAAAAAAAAATTTGACTTGAATTTTTAAAATTTCTTTATGCACTTTTTTTTCCCCTTTTCTTTTCTTTTGATTTTGGGATGAAATATGACTTTCAAGTAAGAAATTCAAGTAGGTGAGTGTCATGTACTCCATAATATATTAAACTTAAAATGTAAACTATGATCTTAAAGTATCATTACAGCGAATATTATTCACCCTTAAGACTTTAAGCTTTTGGGCGCTTTTGTTTTTCTTTCTTGCCATGCTCTTTAAAATATTCCGCTATTCCCACTCATAATCCTTACTTTGATGCTGCTCTGTTATCTTTTAGCGTTTTATGCTTTCTCTTTCCTGCTGTTCATCTGGTTTTTGCTTTTTCTCTTTCCTCCTTTCTTTTCTCACCCCTCATCCCTCACTCGCCCTCCGTCAACATCTTCTTTTCATCCTCATTCTTTCCCACACTTCTCATTTCTCACCTCCTTTCCTTTCTCTCTCCCTCTCTCTTTCTCTCTTTCTCTCTTTCCGGCATGTTCTAGGTGGTCACTCGCGCAGCAACAGTGGCAGTTCTGAGACCAGTCTGCCCTCGCTGGCACGCTCCCTTCTGCTGGTGGACCAACTCATCGACTTGTAGAGGAAACAGAGAGAGAGAGAGGCAGATGAATAGAGAGACAGGGAGAGGGCAGCGTGCAATTCTAAAAAATTATAGCGAGAGTTTAGAAACCTCAGTTTTAAGTAGTCGCATAAACCCTGTCCACCCTTGAGTGTCCTTGCGCACATTTTCCTTTGACATTCTTTTCACATTTTCTGTATGTCTCTCTTCTGCTGATCCATAAACATTCATAAACATCTCTCTATCATTGATTTATGCTTCACACTTCAGGATTTCAAAACATGTCAACTAGTGATGATTTATGCCAGCTTTGGAAATGTATGACTTAGCTAGGGGTGATATCATGCCAAAAGTCAATGTTCAATAGATTACGGTTCTTTAGCATGAAATTCATAATCCATTTATCTTCAGTTATATGGCATTTCAGAATGAAACAATATTCAATGACAAGTAATGCAGGAAGGGATTTTATTTAATCCATTTCAGTTGAAACGTTTGAGGCTGGTAAGATATTTAAATGTTTTTGAAAAAAAATCACCAAGGCTGCATTCATTTGATAAAAATAAAGTAAAAACAGCAATATTGTGAAATATTATTATGGTAAAGCTGAATTTCCAGCATCATTACTCCAGTCTTCAATGTCACACGATCCTTCAGAAATCATTCTAATATGCTGTTTTGCTGCTCAAGAAACTAATTTATTGCTATTAGTATTGAAAACAGTTGTACTGCTTTCAAAATCAGCATATACCTTTTGCACTACAGTGGAATTTAAGCTTATAAAACATTCAAAATGTAATGATTTTCAACTAAAATTATATTGCATATGATTAATAACGTCTTAGCAACACGTGAATGTGCAAGGACATAAATGTTTAAAGTTACCATGTTATCACCATGTTGTTGCTATATTTAACTCCATTTGGTTAATTCTAAAATTGAGAAATTCTTTGAAATTTCAAATTATACATAAACGACAGAAAAACTAGTGTGATGCACAGAATGTATCAATATTTTTGAGAAATGTAATTTGAATATATAATGTATAATATATAATTGTAATTAAATGTATAAGAACATAGGAATTACCAGAATGAGCTAATTATTATTGTTATTATTATTATTATTTGTGTGTGTTTAGGATAATTTTGATGAATAAAGTTAAAGTTATAAAGTTAAAAAGAGCAGCATTTATTTAAAATATAAATCTTTTGTAACATTATAAATGTCTTTACTGTCACTTTTGATAAACTAAATGCATCCTTGCTGAATAAAAGTATTAATTACTTCAAAAATAAATAAATGAATAAAAAATCTTACTGACCCCAAACTTTTGAATGGTACTGTAGAGCATACTAGCAGTGTCTAACATGTTTGAAGTCATTGCAAGTGTATTGCTGGTAACAAACCACAGTACTCAAAAAGGTGATAGTAACCTTAAAGTGTCTGTGCCATTAAAACAGAAATGGAGCATTCACATACTTACGCAGAGTATGTTTAGGCCCTCAAAAGTGGCAAAGTTAAGGTTTCCCGCCCACATTATTAGATTTAGTGTATCCTGCAAAGTAGACATGCAACATCACAGATAAACTGCTGTAAATGAACACTTGTCGAGGTGTTTCCCTTTGCAGTTATTATAATCTGTCACATAGCTGTATTTATCATCTTAAACGCTTGGATTTCACTCCTCTATGATGTTCATTCATCCCGTCATTTATTTTTTCAGTCATTCTCTCTTCTCCTTAATTCATTCCTTCTTTTACTTGTTAATTTATACCCTATGCTTCTTTGCTTTTTGCTGTCTGACTCTTATTGTGCCCTGTGCTACCCCTATAGTATACATTTAATAATTATCATTTTGATCCAGTTATGAATTGTCCCCTGTAATGACACATAAAGGGTAAATGTTGATGAAAAGAAAACATGCATCATATTGAGAGTAACTTAAGCTGTGATTGTACAGGATAAATGTACAAACCGAGAATCTGTATAAATGTGTATTAACCTCAAGATAAATGTAATAAGGTAAAGATTATTGATCTGTATGTTAGAGCACAAAGTTCTGTCAGTTGGATTTTCTTTCTGCCTGTGTGTTTCTCCTGAGCGCCTGTCATGTGAAGGCTATTTTGGATAAACTTGAATATACAGATAGCGACTATCAGAGTTCTGCGGTTTTGAAAAGATTCCGTGTTCGATAACATTTCATCTATCAAGCTCGAAATGATAACCGTAAATAAATATAAGCTGTACCAAACCCTCATGGGCTGTGCCTGTAGGCAGCATTTAAAGGCATTATTTGTTTTTATCCATTACCTCCTCGAATAGCCTCTATTTTGAATCTTAACCTCTTAAGATTTCAATTTAAAACAGATATGTGTTTGTAAGTTTTCTAAGTTAACTTTGAGTAAATGTGTTTAGACTGAGCCTGTGACGGACTGCTCCTCCTGAGGTCTCGTCTACCATGTGATGTTTACCAGAAATAAAACAATCAATGATACATTCTGGAGATACTGTCAGAAAATAACTAGTTGTCGACTAAATTGTGTTTTTCAACAGGCAATACAGATTTTTTTTTTAAAATCTGGATATTGCAACAATGAATATAATTTCTCCTAGTTATGCCTAAATACTATTTCATCTATTTTTGAGTCATTGTGATTCTGATTTGAACGTGAATTGTTCAACTGAATCAGTTCTTTTGTGTTCAAACTGGTTCATAACCGGAGTGTGTTTCCCAAAAGCATCGTTAGCCAACTATGGCTGCTAGTTTCCAACAGTTCAATGTTTCGGAGTTTCCTGAAACCATACTGTAGTTCCAACGAATATTCGCAAACAGCAATGCAGATTTGTGTGGTTGGAACGACAGCCCTCGACCTGTGGTTCAAATAAAGCAAAACAGGGAACAAAAATTGTCAAAATAGTCCTCATGTTCGTTACGGCGGTATTTCTGAGAAAGTGGAGTAAACTGCTGACTGAATGAACCGCATGCATATCCTAGAGGAATAAAGTGTACACCAATTACATACTGCATGTAAACTTGATTTAAAAATGAATGCCTTTCAGTTGTTTTTGTGTAAATTAACTATAAAAAGTTGCGATCTTGAATCGATTATTTAGCAGAAGTTATTACTTGCGCATGACGTCATTAACAACAGTCCAATATTGTTGAACCAACATGGTTCAAATGACAGAGGTGCGAACATGTTACTACTGTTTTAGGAAACAGCTAGTTGAAACTAGCTAGTTAATTTCTCCAACGATGCATCATACTTCGTTAGTCAATCAGCGAATTCCAGTGTTTTACGGGAAACACACCCCTGAATAGTTAATTTGGTCTTGTCTGAATCAAATGAGAATCAATTTTTCAGTAATCACAAATTACTTGAAATGTTATGGAAAAGTGATAGAAATTCATTGACAAAATGAAATTTCTAGAAAGCAGGGCTTAGGCAATGCTGATATTAATACCTATAATCCAATGTAATGACAAAATAAAAAATGCTATATTGTAAATTTCTGAAATTTACTCCACTCAAAAATAAAAAGTTGAGAACAGAAACAGCTTATTATCTTTCAAGTTAACTTTTCTGTTGATCGGCTGAGTGGTTATAGTTACAGACTTATGTCAAATATCTCAAATGGTCAAATATTGGCCTATATATCGGTCTATAACTAGCCTAAAGCTGACGTCACACTGCTGTCTAGACAGCAGATGTCAGACATGTCGACACTGACTCTTGACGAATCTCTGCAAACTCACATTTACCAACACATATCAATTGTAAAACCATATAGAGCTCAATAAGAAAATATGTCTGTCTGTACTATATGTATGACATTTGGATTTTCATAATTAGATGTGTGGAAGCAGTAATAAAACACAATCATTTCTTTTGAGATGTAACTGCTTATAGAGTATACCTAGATGTTGTTTTAAGAGCATTGTTTTATTTTGAGTTATTGTTTTGTTCGAAGCTTGTGCAAATGTTGCATCGGTAGAACATTGTTGTGTGATATTCAACCCGATCTCATGAGAACTCTTTTACGAGCTGCCGATTTACTATGAATTTGCACAATGTGATCCGTATATCGCAAACGTGCAATTTTTAGAAAACAAAAATGTAGGTGTGCAGGTCTACCCTAAACCTAAACATCAGTGGGACGTCAGCAAATTATACAAAATCGTAGCATTGAGATTGTACAAATTCATATGAATTAGCCAACATTTCGCCAAAACGTAACATTATGAAATGTCATGAGATTGAGTTGGTGATATTATGTTTATGTGAAGGTTTTATATGTGATCAACGCTTAATTTCTCTTCGCTTTTCCCTCTTCCTCCCTTTGCTTGTTTTAATGTGGCTGACCTATGCAATCTGACTGTAGTGCTCATGTTACACTTAGATATGCACCTAGCGGTGTGGCTAAGTAGTCTGACGTCTATCTTGTGTTGTAGTGTGTATTAGAGCGCATGTCAGGAGAAAATAATGACGACAACAAAAAAAAGTCTTATCTATACTGGAATGCCATGGTGTTATCCTTTTTTCCTTCTGTTGCCCTATCCTTTATGCAACAATAAAAAAATTCTGAAAAGAAGGATGTTAAATAAAAGTGTCAATGGGAAAAGATAGTTGTGTCCTAGTCTGTGTTCATGGATATCAGACATGCCACATTCAAATGCTGTGACTAAACGTCATATTGCATTCTGTTTTTTTTTTTTTTGCTTTCACACACTTTTAGAGAAGATTTTTGCTTAACTTTTTCTTTTCTTGGCCAAATCTAAATGTTATGTCACATGATATGTGACTAAACACTACTTGGGTCACACTGAAAACCCTAATAAGTTGACAACTCAAATTATGACTATATCATCAACAATAAGTAACCAATATCATCTGATCAGATGTTTTCTTGCATGTATTTTTAAGGAGTGTGTTTTAGAAAGACAAAGTTAAAGCAGCCAGAGAAAAACTCATGTTTAAGAAATCAAGGCCCAACTAAAGCAAACACTGATCTCTATCACGGTGACAAGCAAACACTGATCTCTATAACGGTGACATCAACCTTTACTAAACTTTTACTTTTCAGTAAACCATTAACATCTTAACCTCTGTTAAGTCTCAACATGAACTTTTGTATGAAATAAAGTCAAACTGGTAAGTGCAGATGCCGAGATCTTGAGAGACAGACAAAATGAAGAGAGACCTGCCTTTTGTAATTATCTACCAATCAGTGCATCAGTTCTCTTGTTGCCAGGTAGAACTGCTCGCATGGCCAGTCACATTAAATAAAGACCAGAGTGAGCTGTTTTAATAAATTAGGAGTTTGAGTTGACAACACTTGAAATCTTAAGTTTACTTTTTTTGTAGGTAAACAAGTTACACAAACTTAGGTTTTTGATTTATGGGCCTGAAACGTAATGTCTAGTCAAGATTACTTCAATATTTAAGTAAAGACAACATTTGGGTGTACAGTGCAGTCCTGTTGTGCAAATGTAAACTTTCAGGCCCATGTTGTGATTAAAATTAACTTTTATAGTAACATGCACTGTCCTTATTAATTATTATAACTTTCTGTTCAATGAGGGATTGACAGTTAGCTTACATGAGCATGCCAGTTAAATGCTAATTTTGATATTTTTCATTTTTGAAACATTGCTTTTATTAAAATATGAGGCTACTGAATTTAAAATTCCCTACAAATGAAAATCCTGTCATCATTTACTCCCCCTCATGCCATTCCAAACATGTATGACTTTATTTCTATGAAAAACAAGATATTTTGAAGAATGTTTGGTGACCCTTGACTTCCATTGTATGGACACAAATAACACTGAGACTTTTCTCAGAATGTCTTTTCATGTTCCACAGAAGAAAGTGAGTGATGCACATGAGGGTGAATAAATGATGAAAGAAATTTCATTTTTCCCTTTAAGGCCACATCTTAAGAGTTTTGCGCTGCATCGTATGTTCACACTTTTCAAATCGATTCAATATCTGCACAGGTGTTTAAGCTTTAGGTTTAGTGGCATTTCTCATATAGGGTTAGGGTTATGTTATACTTTGCATCCTGCCTCATGACTGCTATTGTGTAAATATTTGCAAACAAAAGCACATTTTACACCGATAATCTCACATTTTACACAGATTAGCACTGATGTTTTAACTAAATCTTAGTGCTCTGCTGTATTAATCCTGAATTTAACGCCAACCATTTCCTTCATCATGAAGGTAAGACTTACATCACGTCTCTGCTCTGATCTCAGTTCAGTCTGTGTTTTCTGTAACCTCCTTGTTTCCATGGCTCTCAATGCTTATTAGGGTCATTTGTCTATTGCTAGATACATCAAAAACTAAATGGAAGTATATACAGTGTATATATATATATATATATATATATATGAACATTAGACTTCTGACATTTCTCAGAAATGTGTTTGGTTTATTGAAAGGCTGACAGTTTGTGGAAACAAGGTTTGTGTTTGTCAGTGGTAACTGTCAAGTCATTGACTGTTTGTGGTATTAGTTAGTGCTGTGTTTCTGTGGATTATACTGTAGAATGTGCTTTATTTGTGCTGTATTGCTTTATTGTGTAGTCATCTTGTGTAATGGAGTGTGATAGAGGGCTCCTAATCATTTGTCTTTTCCCCATTTTATTCACTTGTTTACAATCCTGCCATTTACTCACTCTTATATTGTTCCAAACCTGTATGACTTTCTATGGAACGTGTTTTTTTTTTCCATTCAGTGGAAGTCAGTTGTCACAAACTCTATAGTTACCAACGTTCTTCAGAATGTCTTTTGTCTTCCACCAAAGAAAGTCATACAGGTTTGAAACGACATGAAGGTGAGTAGATGATAATGGACTCATTTTTGGGTGTACTATCCTTTTTAAATCATCTTGAACATACAGATCCTCATCTTAAGGGATAGTTCACCCAAAAAATTAAGGTTACACTTTATTTCGATAGTCAACTTTAGACATTAAACGAACTTTAAAGGGTTAGTTCACCCAAAAATGAGAATTCTGTCATTAATTACTCACCCTCATGTCGTTCTAAACCCGTAAGACCTCCGTTCATCTTCGGAACACAAATTAAGATATTTTTGATGAATTCTGAGAGCTCTCTGTCCCTCCCATAGACAGTAATGTAATTACCATGATCAAGGTCCAGAAACGTAGCAAGGAGATCGGTAAAATAATCCATGTGACTTCAGGGGTTCAACCGTAATTATACGAAGCTATGAGAATAGTTTTTGTACGCAAAAAAAACAAAAATAACGACTTTATTCAACAATTCGTCTCCTCCGCGTCACCCTGGTGCCATTTTGGAGAGTATCCACTGAACGCAAACAGCGTATGCTATTCTGTGTCAGCTGCGTCACGTTTTCTACGTTGTTTATGCTTTGATTTGAACGAAAACAATGTATCCACGTGACGCAGCTGTATCCATGTTGGATGTCCAGATTTTCAGGGAATAATGACTTAAATTTGGCTTAAACAGTCAAACAGCGTCCACAGCGACCGTATAGCTTCAGTAAACCTTCTTCCTTCTTGAAGCTTAAATGCTCCAGTTTGCATTGTTTTTTTTTTTCTGTAAAAATTATTATAACTCAAATTCAATTCATAATGAATTCATAATGCCTCCTTTTGTGTTCAGTAGGACTAAGAAAGTCATACGGGTTTGGAACGACGTGAGGATAAATGACAGAATATTGATTTGTGGGTGAACCGTCCTGTAGAGGAGGCACAGTAATGTTGCAACAACTGTCCGGATACAGGCTGCACCTATAGATGATTCCAGCTATTCCAACCTTTTGTTTTATTCATTCCGTGTATTTATAGAAGGTCCCAATTTTTAAGTTTTGAAAACTTTTTGGTCATAATCATTGATTGTTCAAAATTATCCTCCTGCTATACTGTAGCGTATTGGTGAAAATGTCACTAACTATCAATTTCCTTTCTACGGTTTTCTGTTTTGCAGAAGCCAGAGGCAAGAGTGATGGATATGGATCGCTTTTGGAGGGAGGTGACCTCGAGAACCCTGTGGAGGAGAGCTGTCTTCATTCCAGCGATGAAGACGATGGAGAACAAGAAGGGGGGAGGTCACAGGTGAGCGGCGAAGAAACGCCAAGTCTGGACTGCAGTGGCTCCAGACCGTTACTTCAAGACTCAGATGACGATGACGACCAAAGTCCCGCGTCTTCCAGAAACCTCCAGATGTCTTCCCAATCCGAGGAACCAGTTGAAAACCAGTCCTCTTTGGTTTCTCAGAGCCACTCGCCACAGCTGGTGTCACAAGCCCAACATTCAGGCGCAGATCCAAGCGTCGACGTCTTCTCCAAAGCTCCCTTTCAAATCGGAGAAGACGTAGACGGCGATGGGGACGTGTTCGCCAATGCGCCGTTTCCTCGCCTTCCAGCTCAGCCTCGACAGCCTGATATTTTCCTCCAGGCGCCCTTTGGTATGAAGAAGGAAGCTTCTGGAAAGGTTTACAGCAATCCGGCGGCCCAGCCGAGATTTTCTTCCCTTGACCAGAGCATCCTCGGCCAAGTGACCCCTCTGGCCTTTCGCCCCCAGGCACTTTCTAAGTATTCCAGACACTACGAAGGACCTGTGAACACAGACCCTGAACACAGACCGAGCGCTGTGACTTCTGATGGGACTTCCACTGACCCCTTCGTCTCGGCGCCCTTCCACCTTAAAGGCCGTCAAGATAAACGCTGAGAGAACAGCGTCTGTGAAACCGCACCGTACTACTTTTGCCCCCTAAAAGATTCGAGCTTAACATAATGAAATGCTGTATACTGAGTGTAATTTATTCAAGAATGAAGCACATTTATGGCCTCTGGCTGTCTATCTCTGGGTCACCGTTTGATTGTGTGACATCTTTTTCTACCTCAGATCATTCTCATGCTGTCAAGCTTCATTTCTGTCCTGCGTATGTACCACGTCCACAGAAACCTGATTTAGCCTGTTGTTTTACAAAAATAGTTTGGATTGTTTTCTATTATGAGCATGAGCTTAAAAAATTATATACACCATTATGAAATGTTTGTATTATTGGCCATCCGTTTACCGATGGTACTTCTACTATCAAGGTATACCAGGCAGTTTTGTATAGCTCAGATCTGGCAGAGTCGTACATCTTAATAATAAAAAAAAGAAAACCGGAAACATTCTAACTACTGATAAAATATATGTTGATGATTTTGTTTCTCAAAACACACACAAAGGTGTCAGCCAACATTTCACTAGGCTTTACCTTCATATCCAGGTCACATTTCACTCCAAATGTAAAAGAAAACAGGTTTTAAGCACCAAATTGTAACATTTTCATTAAAAGTTTCCCGCCAAATTATATTCTTGACGTTTATTATTTTTGATTAAAATCAATTCAGTACAAGAGTACTACTATCATGTGTACTTTACAAAAGTGCTTTATATTTTAAATAAAATATTATTACATGTATATATATGTATATGCATATACACTGACATGTACATATACATATGTACATATACACACACATATGTATATATATATATATATATATATATATAATGCGTGTATATGTATGTGTATATATATGTGTGTATGTGTGTGTATATATACACACACACACACACACACACACACATATATATATATATA